TTATCATTCCAACTCTATCACCTGATCTATGCGTACAGTTTTTCTTTCGGGACTGAAAACCATCATATGACAATTAAAATCATTTAAAAAAGCATAATCTAACGTGTTCATATCAACTTTAAAGTTTAACGTGAGAATTTGCTCTTTGTAGTTTTGGTATTAAAGAATTTGCTACCAACTTTGATAGAATTTGCTTCATTAGCAGTCAGCGATAAACATGCAATAGTTGTTTTGAGAGAAACAAGATAAAACTGTGATCATGCTGTCGGTCGGTTGTATCATTCTGAGTGCATAACTGTGTATTTTGTCAGCAGCAGAAATAATGACTGTCTGATATCAACAATGATTAATTGCAATACGCCGCCGCCGCCACTAACTTCGTGAGGAAATTTATTGCCGACGAACGTGCAAAATTGATAAGATGAATGAATGAACAAATTGATGTAAATAACAAAGACATAAAAACGGCGGAAAATTGCGGTGATTACTCTGTCTTGCAGTTATAATTGCTCCCAATCAAACCTTTAGCGCTGATAACACCAGAAACAATGCGCTAAAATTGTTGTCAACAAAAGTGACAAGTGCTCTGTATACGGTATAAACTTGAATGCGCCACTATTAAATCATTATCATTGATCGGAAGAATGCTGATGATTTTTTAATCTCAATAAAACACTTTTTTTGACAATAATTTTAGTGCATTTTATCAAATCTATTGCATTTACTTTTGCAAGTTTGCAATTAGCAAACTTGCAAATGCAAAAACAATGCAGATTTGATAAACATGTACAGTAGGTTTTAGCGATTAACAGTCTTCATTCAGTTGCAATCGTTGCGGGGGAAAGCCAGCAGATTAAAGAGAATACTGCAAAACAGCACAAAAGTTTTAGGAATAGTACTGCTTTAAAAAATAAATTAAAGCATGAATTTCACTGAAGGCAGATCATTTCTTAGAATGTTCTGAAACGATATGTTTCTTACTTAAAAGGCTTGCACAAACTAAAGAAGGAAACGAATTGACTTGAGGTGTATATCATGACATCATTAGGAAGTTCGGTGTTTGCTTTGGGAAAAATGAGATATTGAAAGCGGATAAGATTATCACTGATATCTTCATAGTTATTATCTTTATCCACATCATAATGAGGATCAATCATCAGGAATCATATTCATAAATAAACAACTCGTGACGTGTCGGTCACAAGATGTTATCATTCATATTCTATTAGATATTCAGTCAGCCATATCATCTTACATTTTACCATATCACATGCTATATTGAGATAAAATCGTATGAAGTAACCTTTAGTAATAGCACATCGCTCTTAGAACTGCGTCTTTTCCTGCAGTAAGATCTGCTGACAATGACCAAAAAATGCTCCGCCGAATCCTTGAAAGAAGCAAAATTTTGAAAAGCTTGCTGCTAACCTTGCCAACGGCGGTGGACTTGGCGGAGGACTTTCAATGGTGGCTGCCTCTTCGAGCGTTGAATCAGTGCAGCAGCTAGCCACATCCGAGTAGAAACCATAGTCTTCCATCGAGAACACCTCACTGGCGCAGCATTCTGAATCAGTCATAATTCTGTTGTAAGTGCCTTGCTGTTGGTGTGCTCAAATCAACCCTGAAAAGTATCCCAATCAAGTGAATATATCATCGTTAATCACGAATGGACTCAACAGCACTGATATCGAACGAACGTATTTATTATAAGAGTTTCAATCGCATCCTACTTCACGTCACTGCAGTTCGTTTGTAACAGAAGAACTTGCACAAGATTAAGTACTCGCCCATCGTAAATGAAATATGCAGACGTCACAAGTTCACACGTCAAAATACGTCACGAAATCAAACGTCAAATGATGATTACGAGTAGTATATGTGGGTGAAATTGTATTATAGTTCATTTACATCAACGTATCAATAGACTGATTAATGACGGATATACATATTCAATTTAAAGATCTCGTAAGCAATCCTATTAAAACTCAACATCAGAAGCGATAATTGTAAGAGCAGTGAATGAAGAACGGATCGCACGTATGAGCTAGCGTTGTGATTCTGATCATAGAGTTTGTTGTTGCATTGCTCTGTTTTTAATGAAATGTGAATCTGATCACGTTGAGCCGATCAACTCAATTCAACTCAACTTGAGTACGTGTTCGTTCCACTGTAATATCAGCTTATATCACTCTCTCAGTGAATGTGATCTCCCTTGAGTTCCCCATTCCAAGCAATTGCTTGCTTGCTTGCTTATCGTTAGCCGAGTGTTCCAGATGGATTTGAAAATATCTTGGAGTCATATCACACAAAAACTTCATCTTGTTATCTCGTGAACGCCATCGTTACACATCGCTTATAACTTAACGAACTTCCTTCTTTCAGCTTGTCTGTTGTGTGCTTGTTGTTGAGTCACTCGAATTTACACAACTCACAACATATGCACAAAACATGATGAAATATCCTTTGCTATCAAATCGTTGGAAATTGTTCATTAGAACAGAAAATTTATAATGCAAAAAAGTTGCCCAAAACTTTAAAACAACAGCTGATTGGATTAAACTGTAAGAAAACATATTTCCGGTGGATGACAATGAGATTTTCAAAAATATTTTTATTATTCAACTGCGTTAAATATTCTCCTTATCAACTGCATCAAAACAAGATTATCAATGCTTTTGTTTTGTTTCAGTTTTACCGCTGAATTCATCGTTGAATCGCTTCAAGCCCGTCAATTTCATCAGAATATCATCATCATTCATTCACAAAAAAACTCAAAAAGATGCGAAATCACTTAAATAGCTACCATCATAAAAAGTCCGTCAGCTTCACCTCACATCACTGTTCACGATCATCATTTATCAAGTGAGAATTCAAGGAATTTGCCTACTCAAAGGACTGGAACACAAGAAGCAATCATCAGTAGTCATAAGTGGCAAATTTCAGGTTCACACTTGCCGAGTTGATGTCGAGCAAGTGAACCGACGAAAAATGTTAACAATGAGTAAGATAAACAATTTAGTGTTGGTTTTGAGTGTTTATTGAGCAGAAGA